GTAGTTTGTTATCTAGCTTGGATTCCGTTAGATTAGGGTTGTTTGATAATGGTAGTTTGGAGAATGGGTAGATTAGGAATTGACTTTAGAGAACGCGGATTTTATTATAGGTTTGGGATTGGGATTATCGGTTTCATAACCTTCTGGGGCTGTGGTGGGGATAGGTTTGGCCGGGAGTGCCTTGCTTAGCCCGTTTGACCACAGCAAATGATGTAAGGGACACCGGGCCCGTTTTCCGGCTATATGAATATGGCCAAGGTGGACTTATTTATAATTAAAAAAAAAGTCCAAGGTGGACTTATTTATTTATTAAAAAAAGGGGGAAACTACGTGGGGGTAACAAAAATGAGTTATAATTGCAGTATGGGCCAACATACAGTTTCAAATTGCAGTTCGGCCAATTTATACAACCGAGCTTTCTGGCCAGGTAGGGTGCCCGAAGTGCAACTGCAAACTGTATCTTGGCCCATAGTGCAATTATGTGTCATGTTTAGGTCAGACATTTTCTGAATTTTAGCCTATCTCATTAGGTCTTTTTTTTTTTTTTTTTTTTTTTTTGGCAAAAATTATCCAATTACAAACACGGAGCCAGAGGCCGGGGACCTCACAATTCAACCCGGAGTTATCCCGGCAGCATCAGCCGGTTTAGCTTACAGCCAAATGGCTRCYAAATCCATTCTGTTACCRATCTTTTCCACATGAAATACCCAGCAAGGGCSTGGGAAATATCTAGGGACAGAAATKACCAAAACCRGGTCGCTGCCCYGAAATCCCAACCCCTGCAAACAAAAACGCCACAGGCCAAAACTCCGCAACAAACCAAATTGCCGAAGAAAACAAGCACAAGCCAACAAAGCCGCACACAACCCAAAGCTATTATCCTAACAATGACTAGCCTACTGCGGCTGTCACAGTCCTCGAAAATCACTATTTTGCCCAGAACCACTCCCCCAGTTTCAATTTGTTATCCTGGAAACTTGCCAACTTCTCATTCAGGCCCCATGTTGAGCCAAACCAGAGTCCTGAACTCGACCCACCCTTTCTCCGCCAATCTGCCTGGATGATGCGTCGCAGGGAGCTTCGAAATGTAGCTCTGATTTCCTTGTTGGACATTTCCACGCCCTCGAACACCGACTTGTTCCTACCTTTCCAAATAACATCGCAGCCTACGGCCCGGGCCACTTGGGCAATATAGCCCCAACCCTTGTTAAGTTGTAAGTCATTTGGCACACCTCCCAATAACACCCAATCACGATCCCGAGACAGACACCCTTCCGAGGTATCATCCCAGAACCTCTTCCACCAGACCCAGATTCTTGTGGAAGCAGGACAGTCGTACCACAGATGAACTGTGGACTCAAATGCCCAGTTGCAGCGTTTGCATGTGAGATCAACCTGCAGACCCCGTTGCACCAAATGGACCGCCGAAGGAGTGGCCATTAGGGACAACAACCAGARRTTGACCGCCAAACGGGGGTTCGGAGCAATCACCARCTGACTCCAAYATCTACTTAATGCTGCCCCAATTTCTTGATGGTTCTTATCTAGAATYTGACTCCATCTTCTGATTGCTACATCCTTGGGGTTGCGTTTCGGCTTTTGAAACTCATAGCCCACGTCAACTGAATACTTATGGAGAGGAAGATCCTCCCCTTCCTTACCTACCCCTAGCCAACCCCACAGTTTTGGATCCAGATTCAACTCTTGAACAGTACGACCTCCTGCAAAGGTCTGACATTCCCAAATACCTTCCTCATCACAAATTTCCCAAACTCTTACCTGAGCAAGTCTTGCATCAAGCGGCGGGTGAGTTTGATCATTAACTTGGATCAGGGAGCCTAGGTTATCAGAATGAGAGTCCTCCCATTGTTGGAACACTCTTTTGCCACCAATGTCAATCTTCACTAATTTCTAGAAAGAAGAGTCCTCCGGCAAATTACGTGATACGTTCCACGTGCCAGGAGGATCAGTTCCCTCAGGGCTCAAAAGAAAACGCCACTGAGGTGGGATCGCCGAAATCAGATCAGAAAATCTTTCTTCAACGTACCAGAGCTCACCTAGTTGTTCCCTCATGCTGGATGGGGATCTCCATTGACCAACCACAAAGTCCCAACAATCACCTATTCTCAGGATGCCTTTCTCAATCTAGGATCGACCAAATCTGGTACGTGATGAGTCAGCGGAGAACCAGTTACCATCTGCATTCCTAATCTGAGGGTTTTCGAAGAGAGGTTGAACAACACCTCAGATTTGGTAACAGGATTAGCCCACAAATTTGGCTTTAGTTTTTTCCAAGCCTTCATTACCGCCTTCCAAAACTCAGAATCTATTTTGCGGTTTTGATATGACTGGAGAAGGAAACAAGTCCATACATCAGAATTGCAGGACAAGTTTCATTCCTTGGCTAAAATAATTTCCGCTAAGGCGATCCAATGGGCATCCTCAGAGGAGCACATACCTTTAATAGCCCATCTAACCAGCATTGCCATTCCTTTCCGCTCTGGGTCGCATAATCCCAACCCCCCTTCTTCTTTTGGATAACAAATCAAGTCCCACGCAACTTTGGACATAAACCTCTGCTCATCACCAGCAAAAGGTTTCCAGATGAACTTGGCGGCTCTGCGGCAAATCAGAGAACACAGATGCCTACCCAAGGGTCTCACCGCAGCAACAAACCATAGTAAAGAAAATAAGGCACTGTTAATCACTAACGCTCTTTCATAGATCGAGAGATGGGGGGCTCTGCCTCAAGTAGTAGCTCTTTGCAGCGTTCTTTGTAGCAGGATACCTTCCTGATCAACGGTGCATGATAGCAGAGAAACCTGCACTCCTAAGAATCTTTCAGAACTGTTGGAGGCAATTCGTCTCATTCCCCAGTTGGTCACTGAGGCAAAGGCTTTAGGAAGAAAGAAAACAAATTTAGCCCAGTTGACAGAGGCTTCAGAAAAATCAGCATATTCATCAAGGCATCTCTTGAGCGCACTCAAAGAATGAACAGAATTCTCAGAAATGGCAAAAAGATCGTCGGCAAGAGCCTTAACTTTACACTGGGAGTCTCTCACCTGTATGCCTACAATGTCCGGATTGGACCTGATGTTGCACAACAAATTCTCTATTTGGATGACAAAGAGAAATGGGGCCAAAGGGAAGCCCTGTCTCAAAGACCGTGTCAATGAAAAGGACTCAGAGCTGTAACCATTAACCATCACCGACGCAGTAGATAGAGAATATAGTGCAAGTACCCAGTTACATAGGTTCTCTCCGAAGCCCAAGTATCGCAGTGTCTTCAAAATATAGACCCAATTTACACGATCATATGCTTTCTCAAGATCAAGCATAAGTACCGAAAGATTAGACTGTGTGGCCTCGATTAACTCAAGGGCTTCAATGGTCGTTACTATATTCTCGAATATAAAACGGCCTTGGACAAAGGCCGCTTGATCCCTTTCGATCTAGGCGGGGAGGTACCGTCCCAGCCGTCTGGCCAAAATTTTGGCCAATAATTTATAAGATACGTTTAGCACAGAAATTGACCGCCAATTCTTATCTCAGATCTATTACCCTTTTTAAACAGCAAGGAGATGATTTCATTTCTCATTCCTACCGAAAGATTACCTCCCACTAGGACATGATTGTAGATTTCTACCAAGTCATCTTTGACCATGTCCTAGATAGCCAGATACACTTCCACGGGTAAGCCATCGTCGCCTGGGGCTTTGCCTCTCGCCATGGAGTTCAATGCCTCCCAGGCTTCCTCAACATTAATTGGCCTATCCATGTCTAATCTGCCCTGGTAGAGAGTTTAACCTCGAAATGAGACCAATGGTTAGAATTTTTCGAAAGATTCCTGGTTGGAGCTTCCAGCAGTCTGCGAGAGGTCAAAATATCCTGATAGTACAACGCCGCATATTCACAGAGTTTAGTTCGTTCCTGAGCTACCGGCAGGTCATGATCGAAGGGGTGCATGAGTTCCCCTATTGGCTGCGTCAGCTTGTTCGGAGCTAACTTTTAAAACGTCTCTCGTGTCATTCTATCGTGGACCACAATACCCTTACCCTTTAAGTGTTCCAACCATACATCTGACTCCTCTTGTTGAAATGCGTCCCATTCCGCTAAAATCCTTTCTTTGATCGGCCTCCAAACCAAGTTAGAAATAGGATGAAGATCCATACGTCTTTCCGCATACTTCAACTTTCTAATAATGTCCTCTTCCTTATTCTTTCTGTTTGCAGCCAAAATCCGCGAGAAGATACTCAGGTGTTTTGAAAAAATCCGAGACCCTGCATCCCACCACGCATCCTTGGTTTCAAATTTATCGACGTTCTCTTTCCAATCCTTCCAGAAACGATTCATCCAGTCAATCACCCCGGGATTTTGGAGAATCTGGGTATTTACCCTAAAATAACCAGGGCCCCTATCCAATTTTGTTGAATTGAGGGTGGCCACAACTGGTTTATGGTCTGAAATCGGGTTATCAAGCTCCTCAATGAGCACCGTGGCTTGCCAGACCAGTTGTGAGAGTAGGAAAAAATCCAAGCGCCTCCGAATCGTACGTCTACCACTCCTGATATTTGAGCACCATGTATACCCTGGACAGCCGGGGTGAAGGAGAGCGTACGGTTCCGTCAGATCTAAATCAAACATAATTTCAATCAATGCTCTGACGTCGCTGTTGCCCCGAACTTCTGTTAAATTATCTAGCGAGGTATTCCAATCCCCGGTTATGACCAAGTTCTCACAGTCAGGAATTAGCAGTGGAATATCTATAAAGAAATTAGTACGTGCCGAACGATCGGTAGGAGCATAAATACAAGCAACTACCCATTCCTGATTCTCAATGCCCAACTTGATCCAGGCCCATCTCCCCCACAAATCCACGAAGAAATCAATTATTTCAGCATTAAGATTCTTGTGCACCAAAATAGCCACACCCCCTCTAGATCCATTTGCGGGGGGACCACAATTGGGGGCCATCCCACCAATGACCCAAGTGTGAGATCTTACTCTTTGAGAGTTTGTTTTCCTGTAGGCAGAGGATATCGATCTTCTTATCGTGCATCCAACTTTTTAATCGAGCTTTCTTATTTCTACCCGAAGAATCTCCCAACCCACGCACATTCCATGTGGCGATTCTAAGCCTGCCCATCAAGGGCCATCGCTCCCAAAAGTTGGATCTGGGAGTTGGCATCAGTTACAGGAAACGAGGTCGGCCAGACATCAGTCAAGGCCTTCCTAATGAACAGTGAGTCCAATTTCCTGTCCTTCCCAAGCTTGGCGTTCAATTCGCTCAGGACTTCCGAGGTTACAACGAGCGACAGTTTGATACGTCGCAAGTCGGATTTCCAACCCTCCCCCAGCCATTGCAGTGGAAAAAGTATGAGCCCCTCCTTTTCTAATGAATCCAGAAGGGGAGGGGAGAGACGTGCATCAAATAGGGGGGTATACAGATGAACTCTTTTCCCCTCCATATCAATCAGAAAGCGTGGTATGGATGTTTCAATCAATCTGAACGGAAATTTATTCTGGAAGATCGTTTTTGTCAAAGTCTCCGTTGCCAGTGGCATGGGAGATTCAGGACAAGGAGCATTGAGAAACATTGGAGAACCAGCCGACCATGTCCATGCGATTGCCCAAAAGGAGTTTCTAGCTGCCGTAAGCATCATCGGTACTAAACGAGATTCTACGACCGTCTGACCCTTGGTGAGAGCATCCATGCGGCTATGTGAGGGTTTACGCTTACCTTTTACAGAGGAAGGGAGCTTCTGTGACCCCTCTGAGCTAGCAGAAGACTCCGCGTGCAGCTCGTCTACACGAATTTCCACATCACCCTCACTCACCCTACGTTGCTTGCCTGGGGATTCGCCGCGTACATGGAAGCCGCTTGGAGCAGGACTCCTGGAGACAGATACAGCCGGACTTGCTGGTTGCCTCTCCTGCGATTGGCCGCCCGCAACCGTCTCGTACCGATGGAAGCCATTCTGAGGGTTATTGCAATGAATACCCACCATGCCCGAGGACCAGGGATCGAGCGCATACAAATTAGCCACAGAGGGGCTCGCTCCCAAATACATGTTCGGATTGAGCGCTCCCTGTGAAGAAGACACGAAAGGATGTGGAGGGATCGTTTGCAGGAAGGCTGCCCATCAACGTCTAACGTTGGGACCGCTTGGTTGAAGTAACCTTGGGGGCCTCTAGGATCTGGTTGGGGAACTTGATTAACACCTGGAGAGAAGGTCGGATTGAGTCTGGTCGTGGCGCCTCCAGGACGACTGGAATCCGCTGCCGCCTGTTGCGACCCACTCGGAAGAGGGGCTACCGAAGTGCTTGGAGCTCTCGGCGAACCATCGTAGCCCGCACCTGGAGCCGCTGGTCTTGAAGTGGCCGACGCTTGTGGTTGATTCGTTCTGCTACCCCCTTGATTTCGACGATCCGATCTTCTGCAGGTAGCTTCCGTGTGGAAAAAGGTGCGACATCTCTTACACCAATCGGAGTCATCATTTGCGAGTTTGACTTCCAGCACATCACCTTGGCAAGTTTGAACCATTATCTTGTCCTTCATATTCCCTCTGCTGGCAGGATCGATATCAAACCTCAGATTCACCAGTTTTGGATCCGCCTCGTCAGCTTCTGGCTTGTGCAGTTTTGTCACTTTCCCAATCACTTTCTCCACACGCACGTGGAGAAAAGGCATCTCATCCAAGGGGACTCCGACTGCTACCACCCAGAAGATGTCCTGATTAATCAGTTGCCTCCAATCTCTGATTTCTGCCCGCGTCAGCCATGGTTTAAACTCCGTTCTGTAGATCGTGCCCGCTAAGTCAATATAGTCTGACTTCTTGCGTAACATCCAGTCCGTGATTGCTTGCGCCCTTGGAACATAAGAAACCACATTTGGGCTCTCCACCTTGATCCTCCCGCGCTTAAACTCCTGCCCAAAGGTTTCCTCCTGAATCCAGACCTCCTCGTACGCTCTCACCATGTCTTCTTTGACCTTCTTCGGCAAGAAACGGGCACCTTCACGGAATATGATTGTGACCGTACGTTCCTTAAGCCACTTAATCTTGATTTCATCCAAGGTCGTATTCAGAATGAATCTGACCTCCCTCCCTGATACTTGCATCTCCCCCGGATCAATATCGGTTGGAAGGATGCCCTCCTCATAACAGGCCCTTATCAATTCTCTCGCTCTTTCCTCCTCCAGGCGGTAATCACTTGGCACCTGAGCCCTACTGTCTCTTTCGCCGTGCGGAGCCGACTCTGGCTCCATCTTGGTTGGTTCCCTCAACTGACCGTATCTTCTAACGCGAGGAAGAGAAATCACTTCCGGAGCAATACCAAACTAACACAATTAGCTAGCACTTGACAAGAGGGGGAGAGAAGGAGATGGCGGCGTTATCTAACCGCTGGTAGCATGAACCAGGTTCAACCTGGGGCCTTGACGATACGAAGGCAAGACGCTACCACCTACGCTGACGATTCCT